TCATAGCGACAAGGTCTGCTTTTAGACGTGGATATGCTGATGAATTTTGGAGAAAGAGAGCCATGTCTTTCTACTGTTGTAGGCGTTTATCTCTTGCTTAACTTTATTCTCATCGGGAGGTCTATGAATAAAACAATAACTGTTAGAGCTGGGAGTGACTTAAGCAACCCTTCCAGCTCCCACTTCCTCTAGATAAGGTGCCTTAACTCCAAAGGCAGAATGTCTTGCCGTGGTTAGTAAGTAGTGTAACTGGTAATAAGATTCTCTGACTTTGAGGTAGTCTTTCCACCTTATTTTGCTTCAAATTTTGCCCAACCAGAGAAATTCCAGGGCTGCTGCCTTGCGATTTTGACTAATAGCGTGTGCGTGGATAACTCCAGTTCCATCTACCATCACAAAGTCACAGTGAGTCCCCTCGTAATCATGGATGAAGGGAAAGTTGGTTTATGCTTCATATGCTATTTAAGAAAATAGGCATGAAAGCATGTTTTTATTTCTCTAAACAGATCTTAAAAATAATGTGACTTTGAGCAAGCGACTTCACCTGTGCCTCAGTTTTCTCTGAAAAATTAGGATAATGCTACTTATTTCATAGGGTTGTTACAGGATTAAATACATTAATATTGATTAATATTGATTAAGTGCTTAAAACAGTGTTTGGTGTTATTTGTTTGTTAAATTTGTTTAAATAAATAGAATGATACACAGTTAAGTAGTATTTTTAAGCATCTGTTTCTCTCCTTAGTTGCTCGGCTCAGTTTAGCGGCCTTTCCACAGCATGGAAACAAGTTCTCGGTCGTCTAGAGCACAACTGCCAACCGTGTGGTTTCGTTACTCAACATAAGCTTTGAAAAGTGACTGTTGAGAGTTGACACCGGGAAGTAGAAAATGCTTCTAAAGCTATAAAGAACTTAACCACAGAATCCGTGCATCAGAGTTAACAAATATCTATTGAACATTTTGTTGTACTCAAGACATTTGGGATTGAAAAAGAAGGATTTGATTACCTAATTTTCAGCCTTTACAGATTAGCAGTAGCAACTGAATTAGGGGAAGTTATTGTTGGCATCTGCCAGCAGTGAGAAGTAATGGTGAAGAAAGTGATGAACGAACATCCGAGAAAGTTCAGGGCACCCCAGTGTGATGCAGCCCCCACATCCTTTCATTGTTCAGAATCATACGGTTATACTGCCAGAAGGGTCCTTAAAGGTTATCTAATTTAGTGTTCTTGTTTTACAATTGATAAAATAACTCTGATACACCAAGAACACAATAAACCATGTTCTGTGGATTCGTGCGTGAGAAGTTAGCCAAGTATGTATTACATTTTAGAAAGCTTTCTGTGCCAGCTGGTTTCAAAGTTTTGGTACCTAAAAAGTTTAGCTACAGTTTCTGGCTGCTTCATTGTAAAGTAC